ATATATATATATATATACTGTTCCCCTGAGCTACATCCTCAGCCCCATCTCAATTTGAACAGCCTCTATGTGATATACATGAGAAGTTTAAAAAAGTAAAGGAAAACAAAACAAAACAAACAAAAAAAAAAAGTATGAGAAAATATGTATGAGAGAACATTGAGAATAGCTTTACAGTGGTGAGAGCCAAAAGCCACAGTGCCATCATTCTTCAGACAAGTGTAACTCACTCATGTGGTTCAATCATTGGACTCATCAATTGTGTCTGACAATTAAATTGTTAATTAAAAAAAATAGTATATTGAGATTCTGTTCAAAGCTGGTGGTATCTGTTAGAAGGCAACTGTATTTATCTGTAAAACTAGATACAAACAACAACAAACACCACTTTCAGTTCTTACAGATTCTTTTCATGCCTCTTTACTGTTGCATTCTTTTGTGCCAAGTATGTAAACCCTAGATTCTTTTGTTTGTTTTGTTTTTTAAACTAGTTCCATTTTCTTGAGCAGTTGGGTTGCTTCCATTGGTATGTCCATGCTATAGGTAAAAGTTGTACACATTCTTCAGAATTAATTCAGAGCTGGAAAATGACAGGCTACTTGAAACTATAATATTCACTTTATATAATAATTTTATATAATTCAAGTTAATAGGAATCAGTTTTTTCGTTTTACTGAATGTATCTGAACCTAAATCAAATATTAAAAGAGTTTGATGACCCCCTCCCTGTAATAGTGTAAGGTTGACTGCAAAGATTGGTTGCTGTCCATTGTTCATGTACACTGTGAGAGCAAATTAATTCAAAGGGGAATATCAGTGGCCATATATTAAACAGAGGTAATGCTCAAAGTACTAGTAAAGATCACCCTTGTCATCTTAAATGGCACCTTTTCTTTCCTAATAGAGATTAGTTTGACCAATAGAGAAGCTCTTCTGTGTCCTACCCAGCTATTCAACTGTTCTTTCAATAGATGATTTTGGAAAATGTTACAATTGTGTTTAAGTAAGTTTAATATTTTTCAAAGATAGTTATCCTTTGCCTCTATCTGAATAGATTATTTTGTAGCATTTATAGTGGCCAAAAACTCTAATTCTAAACAAAAGTTGTTTCTTAACTGTGGTCAGTTTATGTAGACATTTTCTAAATTTTGTCTTATTTGAAATCTCTTAACTGGGTTTCTTTTATTTCTGCATTTAAAATTCAAAAGTTTAAAAAATAAATTTAGCGAAATTGAACTTTTCATAATGAATTTTCTTATTAGGTTTTTTACAAGTGTTTTGTTGCTAGATTGTTTTACCTTTTGTATATTATAATTTTGTCCTTTCGAGGCATTTAATATGTTCCCTTTTAGTCTCTGTAGAAACGCTGGAAAAGAATTTGAGGCAGATGGGAAGGCAGCTTCAACAGCTTGAGAAGGATTTGGAAACCTTTCCCCCTCCTGAGGACTTGCATGACAAGTTTGTGATGAAGATGTCCATATCCTTTTGATATCTAAGTAACTTACCAGCCAACTGGATTTACAATTTATTTAATGCTTTAAGTGTCCTTGCATAATCAAAGATCTCTCCATAGTGCCGAATTGTAAAAGTGTTAACTTTTGTTTTTCAGGTGAAGTAACCAAGGTGTATTTTTATCATGAATAATGCACAGTGGATTTCTGCTGTTTTGTTTTTTTTCTGTCTGTCTGCCTGAATAATAGTATATTTTTCCATCTTCTTCCTTCTGTCTCTCTTATTCCCTCTGGTATTTGTGATAAAGTATATTAAGACTTTGAGGAAATTTGAATCTAAAGTCATGTTGTGATTTAGGTGACTTGAAATATTTTAGGGAACAGATACAGATTGCACAAACTCAAAGCCTGACTAGTCAGCTTGGAAAGCTGATATACATTAGAAATTAACTCATGCTCCAGAAAAATTAATATTGCCTTTAGAAACACTGTGTAGTTCCAAAATTAAAAGGCATTTGTCACAATCATTGCTTATGCTTGTATTCTCCTAACTCAAAGCAAAATTGAAAAATGTTTATAGATTAATGGCATGAGGCTTGTATCTTGGTTGAGTTAAGGTTTTTCTTTGTATTGTGTTATCTTTGTCATCTCTAACTTTGCAGCTTAATCTCTAAGGAATAACTGAAGTAATGAACTTCTTCCATTTCCTGAAGCTATGTGAAGTTGCTTTGCAAATACTGTATGAAATTAGCAACTGATATCTTTTCTCTTGTAATGAAGTATTATTACAATGCATTATTAAAATCCCATATGGATATCTGAATCCAATATGAAAGGACAATCCAGTTCTAAAATGAGGACTTATAAATAGATACCTCTAATATTTTAAATTGATGTACTTGAAATAAAATGACTTCCTCTTTCTACCTCTTCTCCCTTGAGAGTTAGTGAATCATAAAATTATTATTTGGGTTGTCATAGACTTTATTGTATGTGCTTTCAGCTTAATTGTGAATTAGTTCAATTTTAGTCTCCTTCACTGTCTCTGTCAGGAAATAGCATAAAAATGCACTCCAGCAGCAATCAATTTAGGATAATGTGGCTGTTTTTCTTTTTGTTTTGTTTTTGTTTTTCCCCCTTTTGTGTCTTACCTTCCATCCAGTCTCTTATTAAGGAGGTTTTCTTTATCACTATACTTGGTTAGGATTTCTCTTTTTTTTTTTTAAACATCTGTTTCCATTAGCAGTAGAGTTTTGTACTTCCTTCTCAACTGACAAAGTATGCTTTTGAAGAATATTAGTGCAGTTATATCAGAATAATTATTCTTAGCTTTTCCCTCAGTCATTTTATCATATTAATGTGTTCACAGTGACTATTGTTTTACTTATCTGTATTTTTTTGAGCTTGTTGACTTTTGTTCCTCATAGGTAAGAACAGCATCTTAGGAAAGACTTTGTACATTCTGGTCGTGCACTTTGTGTTAATTAGGGTCTCAGGTTTCCCAAACTAGCATGAATTTCTGAGCTCAGACTAAAGGTTATAGAATCCTGCTCAGCAGATTATCTCAGGACATACCTGTACCTGTATTCATATGACATAAAAACTGAACGATGTCAGTGTCTTGAAAGGTATGCAGGTCATAAAAAGCAGCCAGTAGGAAATCAGAAACAGGAAGGATGATGCTTTGCTGGAAGCAGTTTTTCATTCTGAGTACAATCATACTCCATGGACATGAGAGCTACTATATCCTGTCGCTAAATATCATAACCTAGAAGCTCTAATGAACTGATTAGCATTCATGTATCTCTTGGAAGTCAGTTATATGAACAGTTGGTGCACTTTGCTATTGACAAAGCTTATAATCATAAATATTCTTTGCCGAGATTAGATTGCACTCATTTGCTTTTCATCTTAGACATACTAGTTTTTTGAAGTAATTAAATTCATTCATTGAAAGACTTTGTTTACTTTAATTAGGACTGACAAGTCAGATTTTGAATATTAAATGCATTTATACAGATCTTATTAAAATGACAAATTGTGAGCTTCCTGGGTCTTAGAAAATGGAAGGGTTTAGAAGCTAAAAGACACAATGAATAAAAATGTTTTAACTAAGGCTTGTCAGTAACACTCAAACTTTGTTTATGCTTTGTGTTTAAATGCTTATGAGTTGTAGCTCATACCATATATTTAGTCCTTCAGCCAATTCTGAAAATATGTATATCTTAATTTGTTAAAGATACAGCTTTTAAAGTAAAAAATTATAATTTAGTAGACTGTTAAATAATCTGTTAATTGCATTGTTTTAAAGGAAAAGATAGAATTTTGTTATAACATGAACGTTTGCTACTGGCACTCAGTCATACTGTGTTCATTCTCCTAGCACATGCTCACTTTGTGCATTTTCTTCTTCCATAAAAAAAATATTTGTAGTATACCCTTTATTACTTCATGCACTGTTGCATTTTTTCAAATTATTTTCTAGTTTCTAAGGCTGGTCAGAACTGTAATTAGTTGAATAGTTCCATAGTAAACATTTATCTGAAAATTGTGCAACACAAATTTGAGGTGCAGTCATTGGTACTGTTATACAGAAATTATTACATGTGAAGTGTACATACTTAATAAATTTTTATCATTGGAAAACAAGAAGATGCCAGGATTTGTGCCGTACAGTATGTGTTTCTCTCTGTAATAGTTCCTACTTCAAGAAAGCTAGGACATAGACTGTAGAGCATGCCCTGGACGTTCTCTTTGCACAAGCACTTGCTTTTCTTTTTCTGCCCTACCTCTTCTCCCTAGTCTCTCAGGAAAAATAATTTTACTAGACATTTGTATATTCTTCTATTTGTATAACTGCTTGACAAATTACTTCACTTTTTTCATGTAACTTTTTTAAATTTCATTTTTTAAAAATCTCATTTCATTTTCTCACTTTTTGTCATTTGACTAGATAGTAAAATTTTTAGGGACTTTTGAAATTACAGAGTAGATGCTTAAACCATCCCAGTGAGTTTATTGATGGACTTACATCTGTTTTCTATACTATAGAAAATACAGTATTTTGCACATAAAGGAACTAAAAACATTTTTTAATTGAACTTCACGTCGCAAGTAAAATGGCGAAGTAGGTGAAAAAACCACTCAAGATATGTTAGATAACAGAGTTTTATTCCCTTGCATTTGTCTTGTGATCCTCCCCTCCGCTCCCCTTTGCTCTGCTCCCCTCCCCTTCCTTCCCCTCTTCTATGTTTTTCTTCTGATCTCCCTCCCTCCCTCCCTCCCTCCCTCCCTTTCTCCCTCCCTCTCTCCCTCCCTCTACTTCTCTCATCCATTCTTAAGGTTTGAGTTAAGTGTCCTCCTGAATCTCTTTGGATCCTCAAGTTTAGGATGACTATCTCACTTAGTATACTTACCAGCAGCTTAGTGTTCTCTGCTCTAGCCAGGATTTCTGTGCTTCTCATCTTAATTTAGCCTCTGTCACTCTGTGTAACAACAATAACAAGGTTTCGTTTTCTTCATATTATTATGGGAAATTCTCACTCATTTACTTATCAGTCTTCATGATGTAGAATATATATTTCATGACTATAGCACCTTTGCCTATCTTGTTAGTTATTGTTTTCTCTAATGCCTAGATGTGTCTGGAACACAGTGAACATAGAAATATTTCCTGAATGAATGGCTAAATTCTGGGTCCTATAATGTTCTTTCAAACATATTAGATATGTGGGTCTGATTGAAGCTGGTCTTTGAAAAGTTATATTAATGGAAACAAAGTGCTTCTGTGTGTCTGTCTGTCTGTCTGTGTTGTATTTGTGTGTATGTTGCACTTTTGCATTTAGGTGCACGCCCACATGTTTATGTATGTACATGTGGAGGTCAGAGGTTGAGGTTTGTGTCTTCCTCAGTGACTCTCCACCTGATGTTTTGCAACCACTTCTCTGACTAAACCTGGAGCTTGCCAATTTGGCTAGACTGGCCGCCCAGTGAGCTAGAGGTACCTCCCCAACACTGGGTTATAGATGTGTGCCACTATACCTAGCTTTTTATGGGGGTTCTGGAAGATAACTATGCTCACCACTCTATGGCCAATGAACACATTATGTGGGTACTGGACATCCACACTTAGGTCCTCTTGCATGAAATAGTTATGGCATTCTATCAGTCATTTTGAACTTCTAAGGATTAATTTGGCTATTTCCAAATTGTATTAATTTAGTCACAGCTTGACCAATCTTTTGGGTAATTTTAGGTATTTATCACTCCACTTCTAAGAATACACGAAAACACTTCTGATGTTTCCTTACTTATGGTTCTTATCTAAAAATCTATAAAATGCCATTGTTTTATTTTAGCCTAACAAATGGGTTCTCTCCTACAGGTTGAGATAAAATTACTAGTATCTGTGCAGTACCTGTTGTTAAAACTCAAACCTTTTAACCAGTGATGTGGACAGAAAAGGATAAGGAAAGAATCACTCAGTTAAAGACCTTCAGCAACACAGGGTATTCTTAGGTCTTTACATCATATCTGAACTGTGTGATAAATTAATTCCAGCTGATTAAAGAAAATTCTATAAAAAGGGAAACTGAGAGACAGGAGATTTTTCCATAAACATGCATGTGTATAGTTTTATAAGTTGAATGTTCATGACTTCTCACCAGACAGATTTTAAGGATGCTTTTCCCAGCAAGGTTGCAAAATAATAGAACTGACGTGAAATTAGCCACTGGTACCTTTGCCTCTGGAGATGACTTTCTACACCTGAGAAGGGGGAATGTAGAATCTGCAGAGTAATCAGAGAGTAAGACATTAGTACACATGTCAGAAATGTGCTAAGAACCAAATCCTACTGAAGAATATACTAGAAGGAAGAACAGACAACTTACTTTATTGAACATTCAGTATAAGAATATGTCTGAAAGTTTTCCAGAGTACTTGAATGGTCCCACTAGTGTTAAGTTTCTAGTAGGTCATATGGTCATTCATGTAGAGAAGAGGGGAAGTCATCACAGAAGGGGAAGAACTGAAGAAATCTTTGCATGATAGGTCAGGACAAACAAGCACAAAAAAACCCAAAAAAACAAAAAACAAAAAACCAACTCTCTTTTAGGGAGTAGCTAAGAATATGCAGATGGGCAGAAATACATGTAAATATGCTTTCTACTTGAAAGATAGGTTCACGTTAGAGTGTGTTAGTTACTTTTTCTATTGCCAGTACCAAAGATCTAATAAGCAACATAAAGGAGGATAGGATTCTTTCAGCTCATAGTTTGAGGATACAACCCACCATGATTTTCCAGTCATGGTGAGTACAGCTCTAATTAGCAGATGGGAGCATGAGGCACCAGCTCACATTATGTCTACAGTCAGGAAACTCCGAGAGGGTAATGCTGGTGCTCAGCTCACTCCTTTCACCCTTTTTATTCAGTCTACAACCTCATCCCATGGTATGATGCCACTTGTACTCAGGGTGTTTACCCACCTCATTTAAACAATCATTTCTGAAATGGCTTCACAGACATGTCCAGAGGTGTGTCTCCTAGGAGATTCCATATCTAGTCGACAATGAAAACATCAACTTTTGCAGGGGGATTAATAATTAACTTGGTAAAATCTATTTTTATTTATTTAAATATTTTATTTATTACTTTTATGTGTACGAATGTATTGCCTGCATGTATGTGAGGTCACCCGTGTCATGCAATGTTGCAGAGGTCAGAAGAGGGCTTCAAATTCCCATGGAACTGGAGTTAAGGATGGTTCCTAACTGCCATGTGGGTGCTGGGAATCGAACCCGGGTCCTCTTCAAGAGCAGTCAATGCTCTTAACCTCTGAGTCATCTCTCCAGCCCCAGTAAATCAATTTATAAATCTTGCTTTCTGAATGGTTATTTTGGATTACAAATAAATGCATTTTCCATTTGATGATAGTTTCATATACACATTAAAATAATCTTTATTTAAATAAATCTACCTGAAATACTTCATGAATATTGATAATATGGAATCTGATATATAATTCTATTCTTGAAATTTTTTATGATTATTTGACTTAATTAATTATACTATGTTTTGTTATTTCTCCAGTAATTTCAGAATGCTCTAAGTGCACCAGTTACTGGCGCTATTAATATTTAGTTAGATTCTGGACTGTAAAGGGATAATTTTGTTCTTCATATGAGCATCAACTGAGCCACACACAGATCTATACTTTTGATAAGGTCTTTAAAAAGATTAACCCTTACTATAGAATCTAGATTCCTCACCTTCTAGCCCATTTTTCCCCTTCTAAAATACTATATATGTTATTAAGCTGGACACATCAGAACAAGAGCACATGGGATGCTGAGGGGGTGTGGACCAAGGAGGTGTGGACAGGTGCTGCATATCCAGATGTTCACTGCTCTGAGGCTGTGGCTCTGATCCTGGCTGCACTCCAGGCACTGCTATCTCCTTTTTCATTATTTATTTCACCCACTTTCTTAAAACAAAGAACCTGCCAAAATGTATTTCATCCTCTGCTGGGTAAGCTCTAGCCAAAATAATGAAATCATATTAAAATTTGGTAAGTTTTTTTATATATGTATTACAGTTTTGTTTTACTTCTGAATCCATTTTTTTGTTTGTTTATTTTTATTTTTTATTTTCTGGTCTTTTTGAGACAGGGTCTCCTTATAGCCCCATCTGGCCTGGAACTCACTATGTAGACCAGGTTGGCCTTGAACTCAGAGGTCCGTCTGCCTCTGCCTCCCAAGTGCTGGGTTTAAAGGCATGCGCCACCACGCTTGATGGTTTTATTTTATTTTAAATTTTGCTCATGTCTATACACTTGTATTAGTAAGGATTATACAATGGATTCTATAAGTTTACATTTCTGTGCTTAATTTCTTTCAGTGCCCCGATTTAAAAGAGCCATAGGCAGTTACGGCTGACTCTGTAAGAGATTTCACAGTGTGATATGATGATTTTATATGTCTTCAGTGAATTTTTTTTTAATGGTCTGTTTAGGGAATATTTTCTACTACCAGTACTTGCATATTTAGGTTAACATAGTGACTGTTTTAGAGCACTGTGAACTGTGTTGTCAGAAATTAGATGGAGAACAATTCCATATGTGTGCATTCACCTTTGTCTCCTCCCATATGTTATATGGATGAAATTATGTAAAATTTTTTTCTGGAAAGAATTCTAAACATTTATTTGCCTACTTAATAAAGTTTTTAAATTATAAAATCATCTATTTTTAGAACCTTAAGTTTCAATAAGTGGACAGTAATCAGACCTTGTATGTAAATATAGTCCTGACACCTGATCAGTTTTCTGGGAAGGTTAATATACTTGACCCACTGACTCCTTACAACAGCCCTATGAGACAGGCGATGTCATTGCTCTCATTTCATAGACAAGACCATCAAGGCAGAGAGGTGAAGGCTTTGTCTGCAGGCACACCAAGTACAGGAGCTAGGAACTGACCCCAGGTTGTTCAGCTCAACTACTTGATATTGTCTGTATAGTATAGAATGCTACTATGGTAAATTGGAAGACTTGACTTCAAATATGATAGACATTAGATATATAAATATTTGAGTTCTTTGATTATTTTCCAAAGTTAATTTGCAATTGTATCTATGATTTCTTTGCTGTATGTCTTAGACTGTCTTAGAAGAATTGCTGACACAGCCATTTGAAGTTTGAGATATGTACTGTGGTGACTAAAAATTAGACTAAAATACTGGTGTTATAGATGGTTTCCTCTTTCTCCTAAAGCAGTGCTTTGTAACTTTTAAAATTCCTTAACTCTAATATATACAGCTTTGTTATCAGTGCAAAAGAGCAATATGAAATCCTTTCTACGTTGCTAGAAAACATGGGGAAGTTGTACCAGAGTATAATGGGATATTACGCCATTGATGTGAAAAAGGTGTCCGTGGAAGACTTCTTTACTGACTTGAGTAACTTCAGAACTACATTCATGGTAAAAGTGTTCATTTGTTTTCTGAAAAATGACTTATGTATACTTCCTCACTTGTTATTTTCTTCATTTCATTACTTCATTCTTGTTGTTTGCAGTGAAACCTGCCTTTTCTCTTGTTGAAAATTAGCTTTAAATTTTTTAGCGTTTAAATCTGTTGAAATATGTGTAGTTCTCTTTTTTTGCCTTTTGAAGATTAAGTTGTAATCAGAAATTTTGATTGAAAAAGTGACAAATTCTGAAGTTTTCCATAAAGACTCCCCCCTGGCTGATTACAGAGCACTTTTGTAATAAGTTTTTGGCTATGAATTTGCTTCTTTATACTTAGGATCGATTTGTATTTTTGTGGTATAATTTTACCAAATTCCATGCAGCTCTTATGAAGTTTCCCCCCTTTTAACGCTTTGTACAATAAGCTCCCTGTGATTTTCCTTTGACTAGGCTTTACATTCCTAGGGTTTCCTTCAGACACTTTAATAGGGAGGTCAGGTCTTTGAGGTAGAATCCTTTCATTTAGGTATTAAAAAGATCTTTTGAAAGTATTAGCTGATTAGATGGAGAAAAAATCCACACACACATATTACAGTGAGAAGGCATTGTTGCCTCCCTCGGGAGACTGGTGATACAGTTCTGCAAGGAAAAAATTGTTATTCTTAATAAATGGGTAAGTCGTTTCTTAGATTTCAGCAAATGTTTGTGCGGATTAAAAAAAGTTTTGAAGTGCAAAGAAAAAAATTTAAAGAACTCCTTCTTCTTAATCTCAGGAAAACTTATTGCTAACTTTCTTGGATTTGGTTGCAATCACTTGAAAATGATCAGATAGGCTTTTAATGAGAAACTCTTTTTAAAAAGAAAACTAGTCTACAACAAACATATTTACTCAAAGCATTGGTTTTGTTTTCTTTACAAATTCAAAGTGATTGTTTTCTTTACAAATTCAAAGTTTTTCCCACCATATATCCATTTGGTCTCCTCCCTTATATCTATATGTGTCATATTGTGTACATTATATTATTTTGAATTATATAATGACTAATGATGTACCATGAATGGATGGAAGTAAAATTTCAATTTTTTTTCAGTTTGAGAAAGCTAGATTCAAATTCTAGTACAAATATTGTACCTTTACTCACTGGTATTTATCTATTCTAGATATAAATGATCAAGTTTTATTTTGTATTACAAAGAAAGGGAGAGAACCATGTCTTCATTCTGGACCTACCACTATGGTGGCAGGTTTCCATGGAGTGATTTCTCTCGATTTAGGCCATTCTACATACAGTTTCCAGTACCTGGACTACTGTTCCCTCTGTTCTTGGCTGCCTGAATCATTACACTCACCCTTCCTTTCCTCTCAGACTTTCCTTACTCAGGTAAGATCTAGGTCTGTCTCATTCACTCTTTTGTCTCTAGTGCAGTCCATAGCTTAAAATAGATAAATGTATGGAGTAGTAGTTGATCAATGGGTGACTTGCTTTAGCAGCTGATACATTGATTGCAAACTATTTGCCAGGTGCCACCTTGACTGATTTAATTATTACCACAACCAGGTGTATGTATGTAAACTACAAGGGCCATTTTAAAGTTAAGACTAAGAAAAATCCTGATTAAACCATCATTAGAAAACTATCAAGGAGCCAGGATGCTGGCCCAGGATGTTTGACTCGTGTCCATACCACATAGGCTAGAATTGTGTCAGCTATTAAATTTATAATGACTGTAATGCTTTCAAGTGGGGCCAGCTTGAAACATGACCTTTGTTCCAAAACTAAAAATTATGACCAGTTTCACTTGTTCTAATTTAATTTACAATCAATCTATCTAAAAATATTTATACTTTAAAGTTGTCTCAGAATTTGAATTCAAGCAGTTAAACATTATCTAGTCAAATCCCTGTACTCTACTTTTGACCAACTCACACGGTCTCTCCTAAGTATTACTATGATCTCCACTAATTTGTATTGATATTATTCTTCAGTTTATTTTTCTGGTCCACAAGACCCTTGTTACAATAGCTAAAGAGGAAACATCTGTTCCAGATTGCTACTGTAAGCCATGCAGCCTTGGGGAGAGGTGTAGCGGGGAGGGGGTTCAAGATCTTGTAGCATCTGTGAAGAACAGCTGTTCATTTTGACAGCACTTTAACTAACCCCTCTTATACTGAGAATTCTCAAATGGGAGTTAGCTTTTTATTGTACTTTTTCTTCTACAGTCAACCATAGGTGGTATGCTTCCTGAGGATTCTATTCCTGGTACTAAGTAAATTACATGTAAGTTCCACTTGGTCTTCACAATGTTTTGTGAGGTACAACAGGTTACAGATGGTACTGAGGTAGGGAAGAGTCATGCTTTTGTCAAGGGGCTTCAGTGTTTACTGGGACTACAATTAAACTGATCCCTGCCTGCAAATCCTGCATTAATTTTTTTACTACATTTTGTTTACAAATGTGTGTGGAGGGGTTGGACGTGCATAGGCTATGGCACTTGTGTGAGGTCAGACAATTGTGGGAATTGGTTCTCTCCTTCAACCAAGTGGGTTCTGGGGCTCAAATTCAGGTCATTAGCTTTGGTGTCAATGACCTTCACCTGTTTGAGCCACCTTACCTACTGAGAGCATGCATTTTTAACAACTTTAATCACTCTGCTGCTCAGAATTTTCAAGAAACTTAGAAATGATATTTTAAGACTTTTTGATAATTTATGAGACAATATTAGCACAAGGCATACTTTTATTTTCTTATGCTTTGATGTAATAAATTTCTATTTATATTGATGATTTCCTGTTAGGAGAAATGTTTTCAGGGCTGTTTCACTTTCAAGATATAAAATACTCTCTTTTGTGGTAGAGGATTGTTAACATGAAGTCTGATTAGGTGGGGAAAGATGAAGGCGGTGAGCCAGTGTCTTCTGTAATACATTTCTTTTTCCTACAGGAACCATAAAAGTTAAGATTGGCGGTGCTGTGTGGAAATGTCTGACTACACACTGTACGCTTGGCACCTCAGTGGCCTGGCAGGCATTAAGCTTGTACTAAGTGGTACTCATGTACATACTCCAACAGTGCTGTGTGACAGTATTCATCATTTCACATTTGTTACTGCTTTTAGGCTCATTCACCATGGTTGTTACCAATCTGCATATTGCTAATAGATGATACCATGCTTTGAAAGGGTCCTGTGAGCTCCTTGTGTCCTTTTTGTTGGATCCTGCTACTCACCTCATGGATTCTTCTTTATCTTCTCAACAGCTCATGTTTACCCTTTGCATTTAAGTCTTATTTTCTTTTCTGGCCTTGGGCCCTGGAACCTTGAAGTGTGAAGCATGTCCCCGCCTCACTTTACTATTCTGGAAGAGGCTTGGTCCCTGGTTTTACTCACCTGGTCTCAATTGCAGGATTTTTTTCTTAATGCCACCATTGTCCTGGTGGTGCTTCCTTCTCATAGCAATCACAGCTCTTGTGTTCCTCACTTTCCTTAACCAGAATTATTAGCAGAGTAGAACTCTTTTAAAACTCAGAATCAAATACCTTTTGATTCCTTACTTGTTTTTTTGGCAGCCTCATTCAGCCAAGATCTCTAATGCTACCACTGCTTCTGACTTGTTTTTATTTGTCTCTTTTTAGGTGTAACCTGTTTCAAAAAGAACATTTCAACCAAATTATACTTATTAAAAACCTGTTATTTCTGTTTCCAACATTCTTGAGTACTGTGTGACTCCTCTGAGTTTTTAATGTCAGGTAGTTCATACAGAGTCATTTTTAACTTGTGCAGAGTTTGAACACAGTGCTTCATGAGCACATGAGTATTTTCCTCTGGGATAGCACTGGGCACCTTTTTCTTATGAATAGTTTATAAGACCTTGAGAGCCTCAAAATGCTACTTTGGTGTTAGGATTTAGAAGTCATCCAAAAGCAATCTTTGCTTTAAACAAAGATTAATATTGAATACTCCCAGATTAGGGAAATGTTATGTTTTGTTTTTTCCTTCTTTATATATGCACATCCAAATATGTGCCAGATTTCATAGTTAGTGCTTTTTAGTTCATAAAATCCAGTGGGTTTTCACCTCACTGATAGTGTTTACCTAGAACATGGAAGGATCTACGTTTGGTCCACAGCACTGGGAGGAAGAAATGACAGCAAATAGTTTTTTTTTAAGATTGATTAGACAGAAACACATGTAGATAAAACCCCCATAAAATAATATGCAGTAACAATCGAGGATATAAAATGCTTTCTTCAATCCTAAGTGCTTAATGAATTCTTTATGTGGTGGGCCTTACCCACATTGTTTGTCTTCATCAATGAAATTTTTCTGGTTTTCTCACTAGTAGGAAGAAAGCAATATGAAGAACAGAGTCTCGCATCAGAGTGCCATGTATTGAGTTGTGTCTTTGTAGATTTTTAGTTATAATAACTTACAAGTTGCTTCATGTTACTGAGCTTCAGCTACCTGATAGTAACAACATGTCTTATGATAGTAACAACATGTCTTATTGAGAGAAGCTGCAACTTAAAGCTCAAATAATGTAACGTGCATTTTCTCTCACTTAAGTTAGCTGTGTACAAATAACAGAAGTATAATAGTCTTTGTCTTCTGTTTATAACAGTAATAAGATTTTAAGTGGTTTTTTTCCTTTTTAATTTTGTGCTTTCATATAAAACATTCTGAGCTAAACAGATACCCATCTCTCTGTCTTTAAATTATTGATATCATTTTGCTAGTTATGCTTCATCCAGTTAAAAATTTGTCATTTATCCTATTCGCAAATGTTGAGTTGATTTTTGTTTTATATAATTGAAATATATAATGAAAAATACAAAATCATTTATAACTCCTGTAGTCTTACTGTATCTGTTGAGTTTTGTTATTCTCATGACTTCTCACCTTAAAGGAGTTAACTACTCCCCCAAAATGAAATCATCCAATGAGAAGATACTTTTACTGTCAAATTTTTTTGACAAAGAACAGCTAGAATGCTGTTTGTTTTGGCAAACTATTTAA